AGGTTTAGGGTTTGCAATTAAATCAAAGTACAGTCTTCCAATCGATGAGGCAAAATTTTTTAATGTGGATTAAAATGAGTCTCTATCCAGTATACTGGGGTCACCATACTCCCCCTCCTATTTTTTACACTATTACTACATTTTTTTCCACTATTCTAAATAACATCCTATAATTTACAGGTTTAGTCCCTTTGATTTTTTTTTTCTCTCTCCTTTAAAAAACATCTCTAATCTTTAAACGACCATATCTCATGATCCGTAAAAAATTAGAGAACGTGTTATACATGAAAATTATAGTACTCGTCGAGATCTATCCAACAAGATCCATGTCGAATATTTTTTTCGAGTTTAAAAATAACTAAATTTCGATGGGCAGAATAAGATGGATATTTAGTTTAGAAAGATGGATAACCAGTTTAGTTTAGATTAAGATTTTTGTATTGCATATATCTCTTGATCCGTAAAAAATTAGAATACAAATTATAGATGAAATTTATAGTGCTCGACAAAGTCTATCCGATAAGATCCTTGTTGAATATTTTTTTTTGAACTTTAAATGCATTTAAATTTTACGGGCAGAAATGAAGAAATGTATTTTTCGTTTTTCTTTGAAAAATGGTTATCCGTTGTGTTCCTACTGATTATCCAACCGGTTTGGACTGATTATCCATTCTGTTTGTACTTGTTATCCAATCATATTTTTGACATTCACTCTTCAAAAAAAAAGAAAGAAAGATAAATTGATTGGATAAGCATTGCAAACAATTTGGATAATCAATGTAAATAATTGGATAATTAGTGCAACACGTTGGATAATCAGTACAAAAAAGTTTGACAATCATTTTCATAAAAAAGCAAGGAAAAAAAATTGATAACCACCACAAAGAAGTTGGATAATCAATATAAACACATTGGATCTCCAGTTTAAGAAGATAGATAACCAACTTATTTTACATTCATATTGTTGTGTTCCTTATATCTTTTGATACGTATAGAATTATAACACGAATTATATATGAAATTTATAGTGCTCGACGAGATCTATCCGATAAGATCAATGTTGAATATTTCTTTTGAACTTTAAATGCATTTAAATCTTACGAGCAGAAATGAATAAACTGAAAAATAATTATCCGTTGTGTTCATACTGATTATCCAACTGGTTTGGACTAATTACCTATTTTGTTTTATACAATCATATTTTTTACATTCACTTTTCAAATAAGAAAAAAATAAAAAAGAAGATGGATAACCAACTTAGTTTAGATTGATATTCTTGTATTACATATATTTCTTGATCCGTAAAGAATTAGAACGCGAATTATATATGAATTTTATAGTGTTCGATGAGATCTATCCAACCGGTTTGGACTGATTATCCATTTTGTTTGTACTTGTTATTCAGTCATATTTTTTACATTCGCTCATCTTCAAAAAAAAAGAAGAAAAGAATAAAAAATAAAATATTTGGATAAGCATTGCAAATAATTTGGATAATCATTGAAAATAATTGGATAAGTAGTACAAACTGGTTGGATAACCAGTACAAAAAAATAGGATAATCATTTTCATTAAAAGAGCAAGGAAAAAAAAAGTCGGATAACCATCCATCACCGAGAAGTCGGATAGATAATAAGTATGAACACATTGGACATATTTTTTCTCAAAAGAAACAAAAAAAAAAAGAAGAGAAATTATGTTTGGATAATCAGTGAAAACGATTGGATAAGGCATACAAAACGGTTGGATAGTCAGTACAAAAAAACTGGACAAGGATTTTCGCAAAGAGTAGAGAAAAAAATGGTCGGATAATCTATACAGAACAGTTGGATAATCAATACGAACGTGTTGGACAACCATTTTTTTTCAAAAAAATAATAATAAAAAGAAAAACCAAATGGATGGATTCCGGTACAAATGAGTTAGATATCCAGTACAAACCAAATGGATATCTAGTACAAACAAGTGGGATATCCATTACAAACAAGTTGAATAGGCATACAGATCAAATGAATGGATATTCACTACAAATAAGTTGGATAAATATCCAGTGCGTACAAACAAGTTAGATAGGCATACAAACCAAATGGATGGATATCCAGTACAAACAAGTTGGATAGGCATACAAATCAAATAGATGGATATCCAGTACAAACAAGTTGGATATCCAGTACAAGCGAGTTGGATATCCAGCACAAACAAGTTGGATATGCATACAAACCCGTTGGATTACAACTACAAAAAAAGTTGGATAAGCATATAAACCAAATGGATGGATATCCAGTACAAGCGAGTTGGATATCCAGTACAAGCGAGTTGGATATCCAGTACAAACGAAATGGATATCCAGAACAAGCAAGTGGGATATCCATTACAAACAAGTTTAATAGGCATACAAACCAAATGGATGGATATTCAATACAAACAAGTTGGATAACCCGTTCAAACTGGTTGGATAATCAGCATAAACATAATGGATAACCAATTTAAAATGAATTGGGTTATCCATCTTTCTAAACTAGATATCCATCTTATTCTGCCCATCGAAATTTAGTCATTTTTAAACTCGGAAGAAATATTCGACATAGATCTTGTTGGATAGATCTCGACGAATACAATAAAATTCATGTGTAACACGTTTTCTAATTCTTCACGGATTGAGAGATATGATCGTTTGAATATTAGAGATATTTTTTTATGAGAAAAAAAAAGTAGCAGGGACTAAACTTACAAATAATAGGAAGATTATTAGAAAAAGTAAAAAAAATACAATAAGAACTAGTAGTACAAAAAATAAGAGGGGGAGTATGGTGTCATAAATTACTGATTAAAATGTCGGTCGACAGGCGCCTTTGTTATTTTATTACTACTAGCATTTCAAGTATTTTAGCCAATCACTATTGGACAATGGGACAGTCAACCACGACACCCCGTTAAGATTTTACTTTCGATCTTAACATGGGTATGGGGAAGTCAATTTTGTAATAGATCATATGACTTCACACCCGGTGAGGATGTCCGAACTGTTTAGATTAATTGGATTCCCCGCAACCAAGGATTAGACAGTACTAGTATCAGATTTTGTAGGGGTATTTTACTCTCGTAATATTGTAATTCCGTAGTTGTTAACTCATCCTTTGTAACCAAATAAAAAAAAAAAAAAGTTATACAAGACACTAATGAAACTATAAATGTGGACATTGTAATGATTGTCCTTTTTCAGTAATTGTCCATTTATAGTATATTATGTGAATCCTTGACCACTTAGTTACTTCCTCAGTATCCTTCTCAGATTTTCCTCCACAATAAATAACACTCATTTTCATTAATACAAACCATAACAAAAAACAATAGCAAAAGTAATCTTCATATTCCTCAGGGTCATGGCCTTCACTAAATATTTTCTGTTCATCTTTTCAGCATATTGGCTTGTGTTTCAATCTGCTAATAGGTTTCTTGAAGCCGCTCCCAAAGCTTCTCTCATCAAAAGCCTTCCTGGATTTAATGGCACTCTTCCATCAAAACATTATTCGGGGTACACATTCACATGTTCTCTCTTCATCACGAACATTCGATTTCATTATGATTTTTTTACTGGTTGTGTCGATTTTTTTTCGAAAAAAAAAATTAATTCGACATCTCTATGTCCATAATGTTATGTAATTGAACACGTTCTTCAGGGGATTTACTACTCACCGGGATTTCGATTATTTCAGAACAGCTTCGTGCATGGGGTTGTCCTATCTGATTTTAGTCGAACCTTTATAAGGTCAATTATAGCTATTTGCATATTTTGATGCTTTGTGCTGCATTTTGTAAGGTGTAATGTAATTCGTATGATATATATGTTTTGTGACATCTGAATTCTTTTTAATTTTTTTTTTAATGTATTTTGAGGTATGTGACACTTAATACCAAACCCGTCGCGAAGAATCTATTTTACTACTTCATTGAATCGGAGAGAAAGCCAGCAAAGGATCCCGTTGTGCTGTGGCTAAATGGTGGACCTGGTTGCTCTAGTTTTGATGGATTTGTCTATGAACATGGTTAGCATAATTAATTTTTTCAACCATAATTAATTAATTAGTTTAAATTCCTACTCATTCAATTTTTCATGACATTAAATCAATGCTATATCGATCTATGTAGGGCCCTTTAACTTTGAGAAAGGTAAAAAAGAAGGAGATCTACCAATCTTGCATCTTAATCCCTTCAGCTGGTCTAAGGTGAATGTGGAAACCATCAAATAATATTGTGAATTATGTTTTTACACGATTAGTGTAATTTTTTCTCCGTTTGATAATAAAAGCAATAGCCCTACTTTTTATATTTTATGTGACAAGAAAGAATTTACATATATGTTTATCACTGACAAATTGATCCTTAATTTCTTTTTTGGTTCGTTCTTACAAGGTCTCTAACATTATATATTTGGATTCTCCATCGGGAGCTGGCTTTTCATACCCGACATTGGCAACTGGAGATTTAGAAACGGCTAATGATACTCATGCTTTTCTTCTAAAGGTATTCGATCTCATTCACAAATAAACTCTTCGCCCCAAGAAGGATGCAATATTGAACTGTAAGAATATACATGGTTTCCCGCGCGACCCGGCATTTACTTGATATAATGAAAGTCTTGTTGGTTATGGTTTGATAAGAAATTTTCTAGGTTAAAATTGGTGTGTTTTGATAGAATTACATGCACATTTTGATGATCTTGCTTGAAACAGTGGTTTGAGTTATATCCGGAGTTTCAATCGAATCAATTTTACATCACCGGGGAGTCTTATGCTGGGATTTACATTCCCACCCTTGTTGATGCAATTGATAAAGGTATTCTACGATCAGTAATTACATTTTCCCTTTTCCCAATTTACATAGAACAAGTTCTTCCTCGAACTGTAAAAAAAGCTCTTGTTTGTTGAACTAGAACAAACACGGGAATAAAGCGAGTTATAACATTGATACTAATTAAGTGCCTCAAATAACATGTCACCATGTTACCTTTTTTCACAGGTAAAAAAGTTGGGGTGAAACCTGGTATCAATCTGGAGGTTAGCAAAATTGGCAAGATTTAAAAATATACAACACCACTATTTAATTTTGATTTCTGATGAACATTGTGGTTTTTGATAAATGCAGGGTTATATGATAGGAAATGGAGTTTGCGACGATTACTATGATGGAGCTAATGCCCTTATTCCGTTTGCTCACGGCAAGGCCCTCATTCCCGACTCACTCTATAAGGTGACTTCAATTTCACAAAACTAAAGATATTGGCATCCTTAATTTTGATCTTTTTTCTTTTCACTTTAATTTATGAGAATGTAATTTGTAATTTAATATTTGTCTATGTGACTATTATACCTAATTCTATGATTATATCACTGTCTTTTTATCGCAACTCTATTATTTTATTCAAAGAGAAAATAGAAGGTATGTGATTTAATTACTTCATTGTTATACGTAATTCTATGATCGGTAAATGACTCAATAAGTCATTTGTTTTTAAATGGCATTTGCAGAAAATTTACAACATTTGCCGAGGGAACTTTGAAAATAAAGATCAGGAATGCCTACAAATGGTATATGAAGTTTCTCATGTGAGTTCTTTTCCACACTTTACATAGAAGCCAATTTTGTTGAACTGAATCTAGAACGTTTCGAGTAGTATAAATTAGCTTGTGTGTGTTACAGAAATTCATAATTACCTTACATTTAACTTACTAGGTAAATAGATTGTTGATAAGCAAAATATAGGAGATCTCATTTACAGACCCTCTCTTCTCAAAACATACACACACACACACACACCACCCAGTCCCAAGTATAGATTCTAAACCCCTAGCTAAATGTTAGCCACATATAACAACTTAATGCCCGAAAGTTTTCACTTTTGGATTGTTAACCTTTTCTTTTTCAAAATTTCAGTTGACATCTGGATTGAACATTTATAATATACTAGAACCTTGCTACCATGGCAATGGCAATTCGGTAGGAGCAAAGAATATGACAGGACTACCAGCAAGCTTTCGGGAGTTGGGAAAGACTAATAAGCCATTGCCAGTTAGAAACAGAATGTTTGGTCGTGCATGGCCGTATCGTGCTCCCGTTAGGGATGGATTAGTTCCTACTTGGGCACAATTGACCGATTCACTCAAGCGCCACGGCAACTTCGTTCCTTGCATTGTAAGTCAAAATCATATTTTTTCCGTGTCAAAAAACAAAAAAAAAATTCACCTAATTTATTTTATTGATTAATGATATAAGTTATCAACATTAATTATAGTGATGACATACATTTCAGAATGATGAAGTGGCAACCAGATATCTGAACGACAAAGATGTTAGAAATGCCCTTCGCGTTAGTCCGGTATGTCACGTTTTTTTACTTTTTAACAATTATAATTAACATGAAATTGCAACTACAAATTTGGCTAAATAATTTTTTTTTTTTTATGATTTACAAATTTTGGTTAAACAGGAGAAAGAAGTATGGAGTATATGCCAGAATTTTTTTCCATATTACCATGATGCCGGAAGCATGCTCCCTTACCACAAAAACCTTACTGCTAAGGGATATCGTGCGCTCATTTACAGGTATTATTAGTTTTACAAATATGACTATTTTTATGGGACAGAAAGATTATATTTTAAAAATTCTCTAATTTAGTTTCATGTCACGTCCAACTGATATACTAAAAACTATCTAATCGGTTTTTTTTGGCAGCGGTGATCATGACATGTGTGTTCCATTCACTGGAAGTGAAGCATGGACTGCCTCTCTTGGTCTGGAAATTGTAGACAAATGGCGATCTTGGAAGTCCGATTCCCAAATAGCAGGGTATATATTAATTTCATCAGTAAATTTTTAATTTTTTCATTATTTTCTTGTTGGCTATCATCACAATGTATTTAGCAAATATAAAAATAACAATACTTCATTATCATTCTTATCAAATTATATATAAATCATAGAATGAGACCAATGATTTTGTTTTCCCCCTTAGGTACCTGCAAGCGTATGCCAAGAATCTAACTTTTCTCACCATAAAGGTAATGCAAATATACATTGACTCAATTGTTTCCCTTTCTTCTTGTTTTCCTTTTTTTTCTTCCCCCGGGTTTATGTAAACCAAAAAAATTTCTCAAATTGATTTCCAATCTTTTTCCTAAATCACATTGCTATGCAGGGAGCTGGGCATACAGTACCAGAATACAAACCTCGAGAGTCACTGGACTTCTATACTCGTTGGCTTGAAGGCCAGAGAATTTGATAGAAGACCATCTTTATATTATTAATTTTTGTCACTTATAACAAAATTTCCAATGGGTAGAGCCGTTATAGCTTTTCCAATATTACGATCTTTATTGTTAGCTAGGAAGCTATTAATCAGTGGTGCATTAGTGTATTAGAAAAAAATATCGTCTCTGTTCCATAATGATTGTCATATTTATTATATTATCTCTATAATTATAAAAACCTCAATTTAATTACATTCTAATATTTTTATAGTCGAAAATCTCCGATTTCATTACCTTTTTTATAAAGGCTAGACTGACGAAATATGCATTTGATCAATATAATCAATAATTGATGGAGTCGTGTTAAAGGCCGCCACGAAAAAAACAAAGATCGATGTAAAAAAGACAATTCTGTCTTTTTCATTTTTTCATTCTAAAATAAGTAATTTAGACACTATAATTATTAATTAACTTAACTTTTAATCATATATTAACTAACTTAACTACTATTTTATATTAAAAATATTTTTTTGATATATTTTAATTACTATTTCACTAAATTTACTAAACAATTAAACATACTACCTTAACTAATAAAAAAGATCATTTTGATAATAACTAACTTAATTTCATCAAAATTTATTCACTAATTTAACAAATAATAATAATAGATAAATTTTTTTTTTATTCCTGAAAAACTGGACGGCCGACGGTGCTGCCGTCTAGGATTCCGCCGACCGACCGGCGTGCCGTTCCAAACGGGGCAGAAAGAGGGAGGCACCATCCCCCATTAATTCTGACGGTATGAACATCATCTTAATTAAAACCACACGACAGGAACGCCGTCTGGTTTGGACGCTCGGCAGAACGCCGTCTACCGGGCGGGACGAGGGACGTGCCGTCCCACTTACAGGCAGATGGCATGCATACCGTCTAAAATCATTCTAAACAGCATAGACGCCGTCTGGAAATTTGGCGGAAGGCAGCATTGATAACTATGGCCGGCAGACATTTTTTTTTTTGAGTAATTATTATATTTAGCGTTTTTATTATATTTTAATTTTTTTTCTTTGAATACTTTTAATTGATTATTGTGAAATTAAGTTAGTAATATTAGGTAAATTAGTTTTGATGTATATGATTAAGTTAAAAAAATATTGTTTGATTAATTTTGTTAATAATTTGAATATTACTTAGTAAAAGTTTGATTAATCTAGTTAATAATTTGAATATTATTTAGTAAAAGATAATATGCTTTATTAGTGAATAAAATGTTGTTGAATAATTGAAGTAGTGAAATAAAATATATTTGTGTAATAATTCAATACATGTAGTGCATTAATTAATATCATATTTACGTCTAATTTATTAGTTGGATTAGTGTATTTATTTAATTATTTAATTAAATAACTACTTTAAATCTCAGAAATTAATAAAGTAAAATTTTTTAAAAGATAAGAACTGCACAATCACCGTCCTTATTACATTGGGCCGGCAATGTTAGAGGCCCATCAAGAGAAAGCCGCCAGGTTCAGCGGCCCAAGATTTTTTTTTATTTTTTTAATTCTATTTATTAATTTTATTTAGTTAATTTATTATTTCATCGTACATGATTACATCACAATTATATATAATATGATAAATTCAGATTATATTCATTTTAATCTGTCATATTATTAAGTAATTCCATTAACTATTAAACAATATTCAAATTATTAACAAATAAATTATATTTTTCTAAATTATTTCTTTATATATAAACTTAATACGTCTACAAATCTTCTTTGCAGATATAGATTATATAATAACTAATCATTAAGTTATTTACTAACTAAAAATATTTCGTAATAAATTAAAAAACAAAAAAATATACTAAATAAAATTTATTACTAAACTGAAAGAAAAAAAATTAATTAAAGAACAATAAATAATTAAAATCAAAATTATTCAAAAAAAAAAAGAAAAGAAACAGGCATGGCAGGCGGCGTTACCGGCCAGGTAATAACAAAACCGCGACTGTGCCGTCTTGTTTAAAGGTGGACGGAGGCCATGCCGTCCTTTTCTTTCTGGGACGTCAGGCCCGTCGGTCGGCCACTTTTCGGACGTCACCACTGCCGGCCGACCGGTTTTCAGATTTAAAAAATTAAAATTCAGATTCAAGTGAATAGCAATTTACCACAAAGCATGTGGGAAATAGGAGGGAAATTGTATATCATCAAATATGTATAAACATAAAAATTACTCCATTCAATTTGAAAATAATTTTCTTTGTTAAATTAATATAGTACAACAATATCGATTTTTATTTATCAAAAGACATAGTAAACTCTTTAATTTGATTTCGCGCGACGGCGATTTTCTCCGGCCATCGATTTGAAGTCTAGGAAGATTGAAGATTGAAGATTAGTGTTTGAGGTTGAAGATTTGAGTGTAGGGTTAAAGTTTGGAGTTTTAAAATTTGAAACTGAAATTTAGAATATAAGGGTAAAATTTGAAGTCAACTCTTGGTCAATGGCAGTCTTTATCTTTTTCCTGGCAACCTTTAAACTACCAAAATTGATATGTGCTTCTTCAATTTGATATGGTGATATAGTCGGGATCATGACATGTGCGTTCCATATATTGGACCTGAAGCATGGACTGCTTCTCTTGGGCTAGATATTGTAGACAAATGCAGATCTTGGATGTCCAATGCCCAAATTACAGGGTAAATGTTAATTTCATTATTTATCTAGTTATAAAGTTATAGATAATTGCTTTAATTTCCTACCGATATATCATATATGTATTTACTAATTTAGAAATTATATGCATGAAATTAGAATTTTTTTATTTTTTTATTTTTTGCAAGGCTCCTACAAGGATATGCCAATTATTTGACGTTTCTCACCATTAAGGTAATACAATCTAAAGTGGCTCTATCGTCCAAACAATGGATAGGAGTGTTGTTTTGAAAAACGACAATAAGTGCTAGAGCGGTTCTCCCTGGGAGTTTCGTTCTGAAAACGTTGTCCATAGAGTCCTTCATGGGATCCAATTCCATGGATTGAATATTTCCTTTGATTTTTCTCTTGTATCCGTATAATCGAATCTAATTGTTTTGGATTCTCCGGTTTATTCAACCATCAAAATCTACTTTTCAAGAAGTTTCGCATCTTCAAAATTTACTTCCATTTATTTCATCCTCCCAAAAACGGTTACTCATACTGATTAGATCCGTATTTCTTAATTCTTCTTTCTCTATATTTCTTGCAATCCCTAGGTTTTCATGATTCTGATTTTTCCATTTACTAATCAAATCTGTTTTATTGTTTTCTCTCTTTCCTTTAACAGATCTAGTTCGTGCAGTGTAGTTAGTGTTGTCGGCTATTCATATCCATTCCTCACTTGACTTTTTGCTTTTGTTGGTTCGATCTATGGCGACGGAGGAGGATCTGGCAAATATCATCGGCCGATTGTCGTTGAGGGAAGGGGAATCTGCCAGGCATTTTACAAGTTCATTAACCACCACTCGCATCGACCCTCTCCTCACCGTTGTTGCTAGACTTCACTATCCAAGAATTGTTTCACACGACTCCATCGCGACTCATTGTCGTAATATCTGGTCAATCCATCATGGATTCGCAGTAAGGCCATTAGGTGAGAACATGGTTCATATCAAATTCAATGATCGTATTGACCGGGCAAGGGTTTTGCACAGTGAACCATGGTTGCTTGGCAGGAAGTATCCGCTGGTCTTGAAGCCATTTGATGATGTTAATGGGGATTTTGATCTATTCCCTTGGTGGATTCATTTATATAACTGTCCTTTGGATCTCATGAATGAGGAGTTTTCCGCTTTCACCGGAAATAAGATTGGTAAGTTTATGGAAATGTATACGGATGCGGATCGCAACTTTATCGGAAGGTTTCTCCGAATTAAAGTGGGTGTCAATCTCAAAGAACCTTTAATGCGTGTTCTGCAATTCAAACACGAAGGTCAGGATCTCTGTTTCCCTCAACAATATGAAAGATTGGTGGAATAGTGCTATCATTTGCGGCATTATAGGACATGTTGAGTCTAGTTGCCCGTCAAGACCCCCGGTGGTTCATCAATTCTTCCGGAATATGGAAGTTGGCTTAGGGCAAAGGGATACTAGAACCCTTTTGTGTCGAAACGTCCAGCCAATGATCCTGATCCATTCTTTGTTCCAGATGATTCAGACGAAGAAGTTGCTCCGCGGAGTGAGCGTCAATTTCACCGTATGACGGTTTTCCGGAACCAAAACCCTTCCCATCCAAACACTTCTTCTTCTCAACCCACCAGAAACCATCACCACCAGTCAGACCTAAATATACCTTCTTCTCAAGCCACCAAATCCCTCAGCCAATGGCCTATCCCATCCCACCAAAATAACCTTCCTCCCTCTGTCGATCTACCACCTTTAATTGCCCCTTCCAGTTCCTCATATGTAAACCCCCATTTTACTACTGAAAACATTCCTCCATCAACTCAAATTCAGAACTCTAATTCATCACTTCCAAATGCTTCCCCTGGACACACTCAGAATACTCCATCATCCCCTTCAATGTCTATCCCTCATGATCATATCACTGTTTCTCCTCCCCTTTCACGCAAACAAAAAGGTAAAGATAAAATGCTTTCAGATGATGTTTCAGACGGTGATCTCCTTCCTCCACTTCCCATTCTAATGTCATCATCTCCACTCTCAAACCCTAATACTTCAATTTAGGCTTTTCGGATTCAACACGTTGTCACTCATAATCCTGTTTTACTCCAAAACGCTCCCCCAATTCTCACCTCTCCTCTCCACAAATCAAATTGCCATATTCCTTCTAATCCTCACTCAACTTCAAACCCAGACTCTGATCTGAACCTTCTCAGTCCATTCCTTGTCTCAGACCCCATGACCTTAGACACTCCAGGCCGCAAAGCTGCGCATCGTTTTATGACAGCGTGTAGAAAAGCGCTCCAGAATGTCTCTGGGAAGAATCCTGAACTATCTAGTCGTGTGAAAGGTAAACTGTTGATTGATGATTATGAAAGCAATGATCTGCAAACTGTTGAGGTGGAAGTAATTGGGAAGAAAGCTCGAGTTGACCATGCTTCTCCTTCAACCCCGATGTTGGAAACTTACTTTATGGATGGCGGTGCGGCGGTGTCTGGGTTATCTTCCCAGAGCCGCCCAGCCCAATGAGTATTATTAGCCGGAATTGCCGAGGTATGGGGAGTCCTCGGAAATTCCATGAGCTGGACGACATCGTCCGAGCTAAGTCCCCGCAACTCATCTTTCTTTGTGAAACGAAAAGCAATCAGAGGTAGTTTGTTCGTTTAAAGGAAAAATTTGGAATGTTTGGTGTATGTGTTAAAGCTCAAGGTAATTCAGGAGGTCTAGCAATGTTATGGAGAAAGGATGTCAAGGTCAATCTACGATCATTTTCTTGTCGTTTTATTGATGTTGATGCTGAATTGCTAGGGCAACAAATTCGCGCAACTAGTATATATGGTGAACCAGACGCCTCGCTTCGGCGGGATGCATGGAATCACGACTGCTCTCTGTATGATCCTTCGGAGAAATCTTGGTTATTTTTTGGCGACTTGAATGAAGTTCTTTTACAGGATGAGTTCGTTAGTAGTTCCTCTTTCAAATCTCCTGGACCCGACGGTATGAGTCCCGTTTTTTTCAAAAAGTTTTGGAATATTGTTGGGTCTGACATTTCCTTTGTTTTAAATTTTCTGAATTTAGGAATCTTTGATCACAAAATGAATTTTACTCACATTGTCCTCATTTCAAAAGTTCATCAGCCTGAATTTATCACTCAATTTCGTCCAATTTCTCTCTGTAATGTTGTATATAAGTTATGCTCCAAGGTCATATCAAATAGGTTACGTACTGTTCTTCCTTCAGTCATATCAGAATCTCAGTCTGTTTTTGTTCCCGGTAGAATCATCACCGATAATATCCTTCTTGCTTATGAAACTCACTATCACATGAAATCTCTCACCAAAGGAAAAAGAAAAGGTACTATGTCTATTAAGCTTGACATGAGTAAAGCTTTCGATCGTGTCGAGTGGTGCTTCCTTAAATTAGTCCTTACTGCTTTAGGTTTCGAGAAACGTTTTGTCAATCTCATTTTAGAATGTGTCTCTTCCACTCGATTTTCTTTTATATTAAATGGACAACAATTTGGGGATTTAATCCCAGAAAGAGGTATTAGGCAAAGTGATTCACTGTCACCATACCTTTCATAATTTGTTCAGAAGCTTTTTCATGTTTACTTCAGGATTTGCAGCGATGTGGCCGCATCCATGGAATAAGTGTAACCCATCAAGCCCCTTCGATGTCTCACTTATTTTTTGCAGATGATACTTTGCTCTTTGGTGATGCCCCTGAGGAAGAAGCTGGCTACTTGCATTGGGCCATCCGGCTTTATGAAAGAGTTTCTGGACAAAAAATTAACATGGAAAAGTCAGGCATCCTGTTCAGCCCTTCCGGAGGTCGAAAGTCATGGCAAATACCTTGGTCTACCTTCCATAGTTGGCAGGAACAAGCATGAGATCTTTGCTAGCATAAAAGATCACATTTGGAGGAAACTACAATGCTGGAGTTCAAAAGCATTATCTCGTGCGAGCAAAGAGATACTCATAAAAGTGGTCCTTCAGGCAATCCCTTCCTATGCAATGTCTTGTTTCTTGTTGGCTGATGCTACTCTTCATGATTTACAGTCTTTATGTAACAATTATTTCTGGGGGGACACAAGCAACAGGAGGAAAATTCATTGGTGTTCTTGGAAGACCATGTCAAAAAGCAAGGCTGATGGAGGGCTTGGCTTTCGTGATTTCAAGGCTTTCAATCTGGCGATGCTCAGCAAGCAGGCATGGAGACTTTTGACTGACCCTAATTCACTATTAGCAAGAATTCTTCGTGCCAAATACTACCCGAATCAGAACCTTTTTTATGCAAATCTAGGGCAACAACCATCCTGGACATGGCGAAGCATACTTGAAGGTCGTAATGTTCTGGAGTTGGGCTGCAGAAAGCAAATCAAGAGTGGATCCCAAACTAACATTTGGCTGGATAAGTGGTTACTGCTGGAACCGCCTTTTCGCACCTCTATATCTTCACCAGGAATGTCAAATCTGACCTTGGTGTCTGATCTTTTTGAGCCTAATGGTTCAGATTGGCATCGCAATCTCGTTCGGAGTATTTTTCCAGAAGACGAAGCATACTCTATACCGTCAATTCCTATTCCATTATCTCGGTCCGCAAATCAGTGGATATGGCACTTTACAAAGAATGGCAAGCGTACAATTCGTTCTGCATACTACCAGCTCTCACTACAACAAAAATGGGCTATTAATACCTTTATGGTGGGACACTTTTCTTAAAATGTGTCTCATTATATATGTATTATGACATTTACTAAAAAGTGTCTTATTAAAAATGAAAAACTGTATGCATATTATGAAACACTATCATAAGTATACTATGTGGGGTTGCTTGTGAACTATACCCTACTTAATGGGTCACTTTAAAGTGTCTTAATAAGTGACAATCTAATAATACACTTTTAAATGTTTTATGACTTATTGTGACTCGATTATAGGAGACACTATTTTGTAGTGTCCCACGCAATGTGAATCACATGTGTCCTATTACACCACTTATTGAGACACAAAAAAGTGTCTAAACTACGGATTTTTGTTGTAGTATCTTAAATCACCCGCAATTCTGTTCGGATGGTTCTGATACAGATATACTACCTTCGAGGGTTTGTGATCTTCTGTGGCGTAATCTATGGCGTATGAAACTTCCCAACAGATTGCTCCTGTTTTCTTGGAGACTCTGCACCTCTTCCCTGCCAACCCAAAGCAATCTAAGATCCAGACATGTTGAAGTAGTCAATTCCTGCTCTTTGTGTAACCAGGCTGATAGTCGAGATTGTCACCTTTTCTTTGATTGCCCATTCGCAGTTCAGGCGTTTAAAATTGCAGGTCTCTTCACCAAGATCCAGCATCTCCAACGTCCACGAAGTGATTCTTGGTTCCGCTCCTTAATATTCACTCTTTCAGCTCCTTATCGTACTTTCTGTATTGCCATACTAGCTGGAATTTGGCAAGTAAGGAACTTGATGCTTTTCGAACAAACTAAGACAATTCGTGGTCAGTGGTTCTACAAGCAAGCAGAGTTATTAGCACCTTCGTCTCATCTCATCTGAATCCAGAAAGAAGTACTGCCTCTCTTTCCGTCTTGCCGTCTGTTTTCAGACCTTTGGGAGCTGCTATTCATGTTTATTTTGATGGCGCCATCTCTATATCGAAACAGTGTGCTGGTGCAAGAGTTCTGATTACCTCAGCAGATGGTAATTTCTTACATTGTTTCGCACGCCAATTTCCTGGTGTTTTGGACTCTGATTTGGCTTAGACGTTAACCTTAAGAGAAGCACTATTACTTTGCAGGAAGCTTAGTCTGTCTAATTGCAATGTATTAGGAGACTCTCACTCATTTTTCTTGCAGCCAACGGGGACACGGAAGGACCTTCAATCTGCCAACCAATTCTGGAAGACATCATCTATATGTGCAAAGACTTGCCTGTTAAACACTTGGCTTGGATTGGTAGACAGGATAATTCGGTGGCTCATGCTATAGCTAAATTTGCCAAACATTCGGAAGTTATCGAAACTTCCTGGAATAGCTTGCCTAGCTTTGTAGCTTAATTGGTGCTGGACCAGTTCCAGTAATTTTAATGAAAGTTTGTTTCATTCAAAAAAAAAAAATCTAAATTGGCTCAATCATCTGTTTCCTTCTTTTTTATTCCCGTTTCGTCTCTATATATATTAATGAAATTGTTCAAACAGTTTTTTTTTTGTAAATTATATCTTTATTATGTAGGGATCTGGGCATACGATACCAGAGTACAAGTCATTCAATTCTATACTCGTTGGCTTCAAGGCCTGAAGATATGATTGAGAACTGTAACTTAAATTAGCGTCACTTATATAAATAAATAAGAAGTTGGTATTAGAAAGGAAAAAGAAAATTATCAAAGCATACATTTACATCTTATCCTATTCAATTATGAATGACAAATATGTCGTCACCATTGATTTCCTTTACTTTCATCTAAAATTTTTAGAATAAGGGTTAGGGCTTTATGTGTATTTTTTAGTCAATTTAAGAAGGTTATGAAATGGGCGAGTTGAGATAGTTATGAATTCTATGAAAGTGGAAGTAATGAGAGCTACATTGATTGGTATATATATCACATCGATACCATGGCAAAAGTATATATAACTTGACTGTTGAAGAGCCACAAGACTCCCTTCAACAAAACAATTTGAAAGCAAGGAAAGAGATGGAGAATGCTTAAGCTAATCAAGGTGGAAGTTGAATGGAGAATCAAATGTTGCAGTAACAAGGGGCTCAACCATTCTAAAATATACATTCCATGCAATAATTCTTTATAGACTTTTTAGTATTCCCTTCGTCTCAAAATTATTGTCCAGTTTAAGATATCACTTTTAGTATAATTTGAACTAAAAATAAAAATTCAAACTGGACAATAATTTTGGGACAGGGGGGGCTATTTTCTTTTTTCATTTTTTTGGTGTCTGTTGAGAGGGCAACTTTCATATACCCAAACAACATTTATATGACACAAACATACTCTAGGATGTTCAGGTGTTGTGCTTTTGTTGTAATGGAGTTCAATGGAGATGAATAGATGTTCATAATTGATTGTATTAATGTTTTTTTTTTTTTTTTGCATATTTACAGGGTGTCCACCATAGGGAACAGTGACTAATCCCCTTCGCTGAATTGTAGGTACCTCAATGAGTGGAATAGCTGGCCAAAGTATTTAAGGTTGTTCCATGCCCATAGCAAGATTCGAACCCTCAACCTATGATTATGGTTGAGGATGGAGGAGTCTTTTCCACTCTACCACAACCATTTGGTTGTTGTATTAATGCTTTTGAACTTGTTAGATGAACCGTTCCACTTCACATGGCTACTGGTAGTGGTAGCCCATATGAAGTGGATGTTGGTTATCACCGATATAGTTGGGAGGGGTGAGGGATTAATGGCTTATTCTCTGTATTGATTGTCCCAACTTAATGGGCCGATCTTGCCTTCTGGACAAGTTCTTTCATATTCCCGGTAAAATCGCACCACAAATTTCATTCTTTGGTATAGCAAATTAAGAGGAGGAAACATGCATTTGACCGGTTGTTGCTATGATTGCCATCAATATTGAAAAAGTTTATCCATTCTCGAAAATGAGGGGTAATTTCCATTGGCTATTATCGAAAAACAATATAGGGAAAACACCTTATTTGTATTGTTGCTTATAGAATCACAAACTTGCCTCTATGAGTTCATAAAATGATACTTAGGGTAGCAACTACTCTTGGTTAGAGCGTGCGTAACATAACTTAGAAGATTATTTACAATCACATATGTAACATAACATATATGCTCCTTTTATTCAATGATGAATGAATTACAAGGAGAAAAAGAATGTGGGCAGAGCTAAAATAGAGCTATGAACCCTAGAAGTTGTATTCAACCAACCAGAGATTATCAAGTAGTGTAAAATGACAAATGGATGAGAAATCTTCAAGTTCACTGAACAAAACGTTTTTGTTGCTCCAAATTATTTTCACAACACAACTAAAAACAGTCGAAGATAAGAATTATAGCTATTACAATTTCAGGAAAATAATTTTTGAAAAAAATAAGAATAATAAACAAAAAGAAAGAAGCAGAAAACAGAGAAGAGTCCGGATACTACAAAATTCCAATTCCCACCTAAACAGAGAGAAAGGATGAACCCCCGAACACTCTAATAATATAAGCCGGGCATCACCTCTCTGTCAACCAATACTAAAAACCATCAATGGCACCCTACATTTTTATCCCCCCTTTCTACAAAGATGAAGCGAAAAGAACTCATAAATTCAATAAAACAGTACAACTTACAAGGAAACTAAGGAAAATGAATTCAGAACTAAAAATGGATTCTTTACCCAGTAAACTTTTTTAGGGGGAATCATTTCCGTTTCTTCGACTCTGCTGCTTTCTTATCTTCTTTGCTAGGTACAAACCTTGGCAGGGTCAACAATGTGTTTACACGAGACACTCCTTCAAGGGCTGACCATTCTTTCCCCGGCTCCACCACATTCAGTTCCTCGTACTCGGATAGCCCTTCTGCAGATTCGTCGTTCTGCTCTTCTTGAATTACGTTATCGGATCTAACTGTACCAGAACAATTCAATCCCGTAGGGCTGGGCAGAGATTCTTTCTCGGCGGTACCTGATTCACTCTGCTCTTTGTATTTGGCAGTGGAATAAAGATTGTTTTTGTTACTGTCAAGGAAGAGGCAAACCACAGCACAGTCGTCGACTTTTGATGTCGGATACTTAGACCTCCAAGCTCGAACTGCTGACTCAACCAACTTACGAGCAGCAGATGAACGTGCAGGGGCTGAAGCCACAATATCTACCACTTCTTTGTTTGAGAGAACATCCCAAACCTGAAGCAATTCAAAGAATGCTTGGTCAAAAACGGATAGCTAAATGGCCCAAGGAAAGAAATTAAAAGATTTTCTAATTCATACCCCATCAGTTGCCAAGACAATAAACTCATCCTTTTCGGTCAGTCGTCTATATGAAATATCAGGCACAGAGATGAGACCAAAATCCTTGAGACAAAAATCTCCAAAAGCACGAGCCATGGCAAGACCAGGGGAATCATTGTTTGGTAGCCAAACTCTTGCAACTTCAGGTTCATCCTGGAGGGCAAAAACACGTCCTTTACATTTGCGAATCCTCTCAGCTTCCGCTGTTTGGCAAAAAATAAGGGATTTCAAACAGTGAACGAAAAGCATTTGTTAAATTCTATTTGATTTGTTCTCTCAAAGAATTCTGGTATCCTCCATCCACATAGGAGGTCTTATCAACATAAAAAAAATTTCTGAGATATAAGGTTTCCAAAGAAGTGGACTCTTAAGTTTATCTGTTAATATCAAAGACTCTTCTTAGATAACCAATCCCAATACTAAGAGCTTCACAGTTAAGTCATAAGATACACTCAGCATGTCTACATAACCAAAATTCTCAAGATCAAACCACACAGAGATGTAGGACTCTCATGGCTCTCTCCATGATTGTTGGAAAGTTTTTCAATGTAAGGTACAGCTATCCCATAAAGTACTGACCTACAGGAGGTATCATGTATAGCCTGAATGAACGGGGAAAACACATTAGAACAGATTGCTCTAATACTTCTCAAGGGGTAAGTGGCTATCAGGCAAATTACTTCTTAACTTGTGTCCTTGTACACTTCTAATAACATGCTACCTCTTAAGTCAGAATCAGTAGGCACATTGCAGTAACAAAATTAAACTTCATATCCTCGTTTGTTGAGTATCATGAATTATCTGTAAACCATATGGAGCATCTTGCAAGGTATATCTAGGACATCTGCCCGACTAAATTGCTAAAAATATCAGACTGTACACGGCAAAATCACCCTCAGGAACTTTTTAGCAATATGGTTAAGCATACATTTCTGGTGCACCATGATTTGAATATGGTAATCTACGAGGGGCAATCTGAACTACTAAAGAAACCTATCTTCAAGGAAGAATGCACAATCTTTGACTTCAATAACTAGTACAGAAGCTAGAGTTACTTGAATCAACTCAAAAAGGAACGAACCGTTAGCCGTAAATAGGGAACTTTCTGATCCCCAGAATAATAGCCTTAAAAACTAATTACTCGGCACGATACTAAAACAAGACCATAGAGACAGAATTTAATGAAACATGGGGAGAAAGAGAGAGAGAGAGAGAGAGAGAGAGAGAGAGAGAGAGAGAGAGAGACCTGGAAGGTTTGGTTTGAGATCAATAGTCAATTGTATTGCAGTAAGAGAATTATCTCCATCTCTCGTAGCCAGAATAGCTCGAGAATCCCCAACATTTCCAATGACAAGATCCTGACCCTAAAGAAAAGAAAGAAGGAATCATCAGAAAGAAGAATTCTATAAACTTCAAGTGGCAGCTTTTCTGAAAATATTATGAAAGTTCCAAAAAATTGGCAGAAAGGAATACCTGTTTCACCAAGGTTACAGCAGTTGTTCCACTGCAGAAACAATCAATATTTCTGTACATCTTCAGTTCCCTATCCATGACCTTGAAAGCCTTCATGAATGATTCCTTCAATGTCTGAAATATCTCTGGGTTCTTTTCTGTATCTTCAACATCTATGGAAGGTCTAGATTCTTCATCAGCAGAAACAAAAGATAATGAAACATCATCAGAGTTCATACTGCTTGTTCTGTTCTGGCTGATTTCCCGAAGGACGTCATCACTCTTTATATTAACTTCCCAATGTGAGCTCAATTTCAATGGAAGAGAATCTCTCACACGCTTGGCAACCAAATGACCATAGGGACCATGTCCATCAAAAACACCACAAAAAACTGTGTCTGTCCTCGAACCGAAATTCTGAGATTAAAAAATCATAATATCAATACTACAGCCAATAAATGACTTGAACAGCATAGCAAAACAATGCATGAACAACGAGCACACGTCTCCAAAGATCTGCAAAGGGCATGCAGAATGCAGAAATCATATACCAATAAATATCTAGATAGGGATGGGGAGATGAAAATGAGGTGCACGACACTATCCCTAAAGAACCACAAAATATAAAATCAGAGAATACACAATCAATACTAAATCAAAAAGAATGCCAGACCAGTCAAAACTATTCTCTCAACTTTGAGGAAGATCAAATAGCTGCAATATTATCCATACAAAGCAGACAGATTGTTTCTGCAGGCCTCATAGTATGACACATAGTAGATAAAAGCATTCATTGCATGAATCCTGAAAAACATACTACGGAACACATTAAGGGATTTCAGACAACCATTATGCAAAAATGGGGAGGGGACCAAACCCAGATGTGTATGGCTTAAAGAATTTTATTCCCACAGGAACAAACAAACAAAATTTAAAAAATGAGGAAACTACAACATTAACATGGTAAAAATTATTCTAGCCACATACACAAGTTCCTGAAACAAGGCAGTCAATTTGCGTAAATAAGCCAGCACAACCACTCACAAGAAATTCACTATTCACAATTAATGAACTTTGTGAAGCTAATGGATGACAGAGAAAAGCCACAGCACATTTCGTAAACTCCATGAATCAAATCAGCTGGTCTTAATCAAATTAAAGCAACTCTAATGTAATGCCAGCCGAATGTAACAGGACGAACCAAACAAACACGATGACAAATCTGACTTTCACAACATTTACAACTACAAACCATACCATATATAAGTCATGGCCAAAACAACCCTAATAATTAATACATTGGCCTAGTCCCATGCTAGAAGAATCAAGAGAGTATAAGTTTCAAATGTCATCATCAAAAAACTATCCAACTGTTCAACCAAAGGAAAATAAAAACCACAATCCATGGCTAAGTCTACCTCGAAAAGAACATAGATACCACCCATTAAGTTTCAAATACTAACAACTTTGAGGAGGAAATAAAGTACCGTTATCTGAAATAGCACAAGGAGATTGGAACAGATCATACCTCCCAAACAATCATAGCATCTTGATTGGTTCCTTTCCTGCCTTGCTGGGTAAAGAGTGATGCCAATTCACTTGATCCATTCAAAAACATTCTGCCCGGAATTCTATGAAGCATTTCTTCTCTTTTATGATCTAAGGAAGAACTCCGGAAAGATGGCCGCCTCTTCAAGTTCTTACTCTTCCTGACTGAGGTGGTCGGAGAACCAGGAAGAGTGTTCCTGCTTTCAGTGGATAAGCAGGACCCCATCCTGAGGGCCCTGAGTATATCAAACAGGCACTCCAGTCCAGCCAGACAGTAACAGCCGCTATTTTCCGTGTTGGGATCCGTCACAGCTCTCCCTATAGTTCCCCAAAAACTTAAAAAATCCAGTCCCCAAAAAAACCCAATTAGCTCAAGAACTTCACTTTCTTATCCACAATTGGTAATAAGCCACTGAGCATAACCCACTGAAATCTAAAGGGGTCTCCAATAGAATCACCTAGAGAAAGCTTCTAACTTTTTAAAGAACAATCTTTTCTGATGGAACTTAAGGTTAACAGAATGATAACAATTTGACAAGAATATCCACTCACTTTTTCTCCCCTCCGTCCACCATTAAAATAATAAGCAAAATGTGGGAAAAGCTATAAATGATTCAAATCCCAAACAGCAGATCTATAAACTATGCACCTTTTTTCTTATATTCCAATTTTGCATAAATATCCTCTTTTCATCAACCCACCACTCCGACTGTCCGAAACGCATTAGAAGATTGAATCACACTTTAGCTATACTCACCAAAAACAAGATAGCCCTTTCACTTTTTCCCTCTCAAACAGCAGAAATAAAGAACCAATCTTGATATGTAAATCACCAAAGCAGGACTTCCCGGGACATGCATTAAAATCAATCAAAATCCAACTCCTTCCCTTCTCAGATCAACTCCTCAAACAATCAACAATAGAGTACAACGAACGAAATATCCAACTGAATAAGGTTGCGTAAGATTCCAAAGCGCTAACCAGATTAATTACAGTTAGCATAAATTGTACCCAACATGAAAAAAAAAAAAAACGGAAGTACAGCTCAGCAACCCACAATAAAATAGGCCAAAAGGATCATAAATAGTAAAAGCTAAACACAACCCACAATTAAATATGTTGAGAGAGAAAAAAAAAGGGGTGCCTAAAAACAGAAACTTTGGATGAAAAGTTCAATCAAAAAGGGGAGAAAGAATAGGAAAAAAAAAACGAACTGTAGAGAGAAAGCGGGGAGTAAAGAGCAGAAGAACGGAAAATTGGAGAATGAATTGAGATCGCAAAAAAGCCGCCGATAAGACTTTGTTTATTGGTTGCTGATATTTGGTTTATATTGAGAAGAATAATGAAATTTTTGTGAGGATGGAGAAGACATGAAGAAGAGGGAAAGGGAAAAAAAACCTTTTTTTTTCTCCTCTCTCCCTGTTTTATGTTTGTTTGGCTTTGGCCCTTTCCATCCCTTCAAATATCTGAGATCTTCTTCTTCACATTCATATGCATGTGTATAGAGAGAACAAAACAGCAAAAAGGCAGGTAAAAAGATGGCAGCAAAAGGTTGAAACTGTGAAAAAAAGGAGAAAACTTTCCAATTCTGAATTATAAAAATGGCAGATGTGTGGCCAATTTTTCGGTGGATAAGAAGGAGAACAAATAAAAAAAACCCAGGCTTAATAGTGTGAAACAAAATCGAAGCGAATAATGAAAAATGGAGAAAATAATCAAAATATACACACAGTCACACAGTCACACGGTGTCTACAGCCACAGATTTGTAGTAGTAGTAGTATTTTACGCATTTCTGTGAGAGGAAATATATATTTACCTTACACATAACGAATGATGGATTTCCAAAAATAAAAATTAAAAAAAAGAGAGAGAGAAATAGATGATGATGAATGGTGGAAAAAGCTAAAAGGAATAAAATATTTGAAGAATCAGATTTAAGGTGTAATTGATTGGAGATGCTTTGCTTTGGGTTCATTATTTCCTTTCCCTTGGTTGATTAGAGATCTTTACCATTTTGCCGTACACCATATCTTTTTTCCCTCTCTTTCTGTAATTATATGTGTTTTCTTGGTTAAAAGGTGTTTTTTTAAAAAAGAAAAATACTATATAGAGTAAAAGATTCACTGTGAATTCAATACTATTAGTTAGCATAGTGTATTTGGTGATTTGTTTATTTATTAGGATTGCCTTGTCAATCACATAACCATATATTTGTTTTTCTAAAAAAAGGTTAACAAGAGGGATATTTTCATTAAGATTTTAAAAATTATGTATTTTTGACTTAAAAAATCATCCTTGTGTATATCGATTTTTTTTAATTATTTAATAAATTATATTTTATTTTTTATAAAAGAAAGAACTCAACTCTCATTGGTTACATCCACATATATTGCACTTTTATTGTCAAACAATCTGAATTTTCTTTCAAACCAAGTGAACATGTGATATAGAATTTCATATGCACTATTCAACTTAAAGTTTGGATTTTCGACATAGAATATGACACATTATATCCAATGGTCATTTTAAGATAGATTATTTTACTTTATCAAGAAGAATATGTAGGTAGCTAAACCAAATACTAAGAAGGATTCAATTGAAGAAATTACGAATATATTTTGACTAAGTCTAATTTTGTTTTAACTTATTCAAAACCCAGGTGAAGAGAATTAATTCCTTTCCAATCATCAATCACCATGCATGAGTCAATTTCTTATTCCACCATTATTTTTAAATTATTGTATTAAATCTGTGCCCCCACTCATATTATCCGCAGCTCCCATTTCCTAGGCACTTCATACTGCTTCAATTAGACTGCCACCGCCCTCCTTTATTTTTCGAATAAAAATCCCAAAAAAATAAATAAATATTCCTACTAGTAGTATTATACAATTTTCTAAGTGAAAGATAATAGTACTTGTTAATTACTTAAATTAAGAAGCATTTTCAGCTCCCATCCATCTATATCAATGTATGGACTTCATCAAATACGTGTAGGCCAAAAAAAGGTTTTAAGAAATGGGAATCATTACAAATTTACAATATTAGATAAGAACAATTTCATTTGGATATTGTAATAATTGTTTGCTGCTGGATAATGGATAAATGATTAAATGTTGTACTAGTATTGACTAAACCAGATATTTGTATTTAACACTAACTAATTATCTAAAATACATTATCTCGTTATTTTTATGATTCAGTTTTTCTTCCTTCTTTTCTTAAGAAAATCTTGAGCACATTCATGGGTTGACAATTTGCCTACATGCTACTCGATGTACATGTAATTGATAAAGTCAGGGACTCGTTGTTAGTGTTGGTTCCTTCACTTAAAAAAAAAAAAAAAAAAAAAAAAAAGAAAAATTCGATCAACTAAATAATTCTACCCTTCGGATTCAATGAGTCAATGTGATATAGAAACGGAAATTGATTCACTTTTGACAAAGGAGATAATACTACTTTCTTCATTAACATAAATTTATCCCAAACTTATGTAGTTGGTTATATTGTTAATTTCACTAAATTATGGTACTTATTCTGACAAGAAAATAATATGTATAATGAAAAAAAAATAGACTAATGTGGAATATTATGATTCTCTTATTTTGTTGTTAATTTCTTGTTAAAATTTTTATTTTTCCTTTAAAATTATATTTTTATCCCTAATTAATAAGTATACATCAGTTAGTATGAATTTTCACTATAGTTTGTTCACTTCCTATATTACTGCTCTTTTAGTAAAATGAATAAGAAAATTTGGGAGGGAAAGAGTAAATAATCAAAATATCACATGTTCCAGAAAACTTATGAAAAACATCGCTGATTTGCATGTCTGTCAATACACAAACTTTTCATAATGTAGCTACTAGTATTAAGTTCCACTTGGGTGGATTGATTAATTATTTTAAACAGAGACTGAAGATTAATTCAAATATGGTACTATAATGTTCCATTTAAACAAAATTATGGAAAATTTTATTGATTGGACTACTGGAATGGGTTGCTTGAAGGCTCAACTTGTCTTGGATTGATTTTGTTGAAAATTCGAATAATAAATGTGTATGCGTTTGCTTCCACGTATAAACATGATGCTATATTAATAGTATTCATTATTTTTTTAATTGCAGTATGATCATTAGTTTCGATTGCATAATCAAAATCAATAGTAATCAATGACTTACTCATATATATATATATATATATATATATATATATACTATATATATATATATATCATTGGTGAAGCATCCAATTATCTTATACTCCCTCAATTTCAAAATGCAAATCATTTTAGGTTTGGAGAAATATTTCAAAATATAGGTCGTTTTAGATTTGGAAAAATATTTCAAAATGTAGGTCGTTTTAGGATTTCTAGCACATTTGTTATATGCCCATGATCACATTTTGCAAAGAAGAAAGGAAGCTGCTCCAAGCATGGCTTAATTTAATTAGAGATCAATGTATATATATTAGGACAAAAATAAGTAATAAGTAGAACAGAGTTATTAAAAGTTCAATGATATGAAGATCAAAACAAATAGTTCAGATTCATTTCGTGTATAAAACAATCAAAAGGACAGTTGTTTGACTGTAGTGATTGAAATGGCCATATCATTTAGCTCTGTCATTTCCATATAAAACCCGACATACTCTTTCTAATTAAAGATGGCTTTGTAGTAGTAGTGCTTTTTTGTTTTCCTTGTCATTTTTGTACACATTAATATGGTGTAGGAGGACGGTGGCACCAGCGCATTTCTTTGCAATTGAACCAATCTGAAAATGTCTTTTATTTTTGCAATTTGATTTTATAGAGAAAAATTTTATTAAAACAAGAATCAACCGCATCCTTGCGTTTAGGAGATTTTCTTACTACTATCTTCTTATGTGAAAAAAGACTAACTAGTTGCATTGCGAACCTATCAAGTTGGTCAATGACTAAAATATTTAAATGTGTTGTATAATACTCTGTTCCCTTAAAAATAATTTATATCGTTTTTTGAGTAATTATTTTTCTTAAATGACAGAAAGAGTATTTTACGTTAGAAAAAAATATGACTATATTCACTTTCACTATTATTTTACTCACTCTGTCCTAAAATATTTGTCCAGTTTGATATTTCACTTCGCGTACAATTTGAACTAGAAATGAAAATTTAAACTGGACAATAGTTATGGGACGGAGGGAGTAATATTTTATTACTATATACATATTTTATTTCACGTTTCCATCACTTCGTGTAAAATACGTATGGTTGTATACAATGCCGCCAATCCAACAGAATGTGCGTGTCTAGAATACTCGATCAACAAAATTTTTCAAATCATGTTATAAAATAATCCGATTGATTACAGTCAATTCTTCTTCAATTTTTTTTTTCTTTCTTCTTTTAGAGTAAGCGGGCTATGTCTATTCACATTTAATTTTTTTTTTTTATTTCATATCATTTTCAATATGGGGTCAAAGCAAAAAAAAAGTCGCAATGAAAGTAAAGAAAACAAATCCATCAACCTTTTAAGTCTTTCACGTGTTTCTCGTTTCTGATCGATCTAGGGGACTAGGGTTTTTCAGTTGCTTTCAGGAAAGGGTTACATTTACACTAGGAAAATACTTCTCATAGGTCCATTTACTAATTAAAATAATAATATTTGATGAGTTAAACTTAAACTAAAGCAATTTGCATATTTGTTTGTTTTGTTGGGGGGGAGTCAAATTACTTTGATTTTTATGTGCCACGAAAATCATACCAATCACAAAGCTTTCATATGATGTTGCCATTTTACATGTAGGACATGCTTATGTTTTGGTCTCATTACTAATCTAGTTTTGCACCACACACATATACTTATTTCTAATGATTAGATTAGAGTTGTTAGAAATCAAACACATGGTAATTAATGTTGTTTGAAAATAATGCCTTTTTTTCACCTTTTTTTGAAGTTTGATATCTGTTATTGCATGAAGTTGCAATAATAATTCATTGTGAGTTTTCTCAATTTAAAGTGAAAAAAGAATAGGTCAATCCTATCTCAACTAATTGTAGTCAAACACCATATAATGAACTTTACTGCATCACATTTTTGTGTAATCGAAAACTACATGAAAAAGACTTGTTAGAAGGAAAAACCCAAAAACAAAAAAAAAAAAAAAACCAAAAAATTGAGACTTGAGACTTGAGCGTAACTCAGAATGTGCACAATTTAATTTAATGATGACCGTTCCATTGCGTGTCTTAGTCACTGGACTCATATAATTCATCCACTTTGACGATATGAGGCCCAAAAACGCTTTTCGAATTTGAAGATTTTTTCGTGCTTTGCGTTATTTCGACGTATACACAGAATCATATAAAATAATAATAATAATAATAATAATCCATGAAATCATTTTATGAAAATTTATCTCATCCTAATTTAAGTAGTTTATATTTTAATTATTCATTTGGTCGGACTATATAATTAAATAAACTATTAAAATGAGGTGGAGGGAGTACGAACTTAGTTCTTTCACAAATATGTTTATATTGAAAATGCTTTTTAGTCTGTTTAAATGGTGAAAGGTTTACTCCAGCCAGAGATAACTTGCTACAAGAACAAGAACTAGAACACAAGATTGAGAGTGGGGAAAAAAAAAAGGAAATAAAAACCCTTATAGCTAATTAAAAAATCTCATTTATCATTTGGTTTCCATGTCATCGTTTTTCCAGTTCAAATTGGATTACAGAGATTTCGTGCAAAACTGAATCACAGAATTACAAAGAAAATGACAGTAGCTAATACATTAGTACAATTCAATAATCTCAATAAGAACGATGTTAAAATCTTGTTATGCTCTTAACTATATGCACAAAAACAGCTAGCTTTGCGGATTTGTGAGTTCCAATATCACCCTTTTGTCCAAAACAATATCCAATTGTAATAATATACTCCTTCCATTCCAATTCAATAGGCTCATTTAGACATACACAAAGATTAAGAAAAAGTGGGTAATATAGTTTATGCAGTTAATTTTAAATAAAATTCCTACTACACCTTTATTAATGACTAATGAGTTATTAGTTGATATGAGAGAGTAATAGTTGAAATTAATTAAATGTTCTTGATTTCAGTGAATATGGAAAGGGTGTATTAGAGAGTTTATAAAAAAAGTTAATCAATTGCCTGAAGTGGGACTAAGTTATTAAAATGGAATGGAGGGAGTAGTAATAACAATTACGAACTTGCGCAACACAGTACCTTTTCTTTTCTTTTTTTATTTTTTTTTCCACTTGCGATGAAAAGAGTAACATTTATATGTAGGTATAAGAGTCAAAGATTGTGAGCCCCGTGACTAATTAAGCCTACTTCGTAGCTTGGGGACAATTAAATATGATTAGATGCAACGTAAGATTAAGCTAAGCTTGCAGTATAGTTTATTCATACCAAGTACTCCTACATTTTATTATATACTCCCTGTAGTACATACAGAATCAGAGATTGATTCGACCCTGATACATTTAACCAACAACAAAGATAGAATATGAGATTGCGTACATTTCATGCGTTGTTGTTAAACTTGGAATATTATCTGAACTACTCTTAAACAAGATCAAAACAAATGATCAATATCGGATGAATAATCTAAACGATAATCTCAGCTCTCAATACAGTATCGGATCTTCTGCATAATGACAAAAGGAGCTTTTGAAGAAAGATTTATCCGACTTTACTTCGAATTAGTCATAACAATAATTTTAATTGAACATGTAATAAAAAAAAAAGAAAATAAAAATAAAGGAAATAACTCCCTCAAAGCGACTGCTTTCATCTGTTAGAATTTGTAACCAACAGGGGGAAGGGAGAGATAAAGTTGATAAAATAACCGGTTTTTTGAACATCAGTGCCAGATGGATGGGTTAATAATAACATCAGTTTAGAAGGAAAATGGCCATATCACTTCTCATCTGACATATACATGACTCATGTGCCAACTTAAATGCCAACATATTGACGATGCATTCAATTGATAATTGCTTTTAAATCATTATTACTTTCATTTCCTTTTTTCCACGAAAAATTCGTTGGGCAACTGTCACTTGGAAGATTGACGGCTAGCCGCCTAGCACACAAAGTATATCAAATGACATATTACTGATTTGCAAATTGGCAGCAAATTAATAATACTCCCTCTATTTTAATTTGTAGGTAATTTTAGGTTTAGAGAGATTTTTTAAAATATAGGTCATTTTACAAATTCTAAGCAAATTAATGACTATTTTTCCAACTTTACCCACAATAAATGATACTAATATATTTTTATTTAGTCTTGTTTATAGTTCTAATGTAATTAATGAGGGGTAAAACGGATATTTAACACATAAATTAATTGTTAAATGATTGTCTCCTTAGTTTACGTGCAGAGTGTAAAGTGACCTATATTTTGAAATGGAGGGAGTAGTAGTAATAATAATAGTAATAATGTGCGTGCGTGTATGTTTAATTAAACGTCATATTTGAGACTTGAATCAATAGTCACAAGAGTTTATGAATAAAATTTTTGGGATTGATCAAGTCGCTGAAATAAAATCGCTACCGCCATGGTATGAAGCAAGCCTCATTAATCCGCGGTTAAGTGTTAGTAACACTGACAGATATCCTAACATTTCCAATCAAGTAAAATGGATAGGAATGTAGGTTCATACGTGGACTTGATAGTAGTATTAATCAAATTCAGAGCAATCCAATCAGATATAGAAACGAAAGATGAAGGAGAAGAAAGAGAGAACATTAATTACGACACGATTCCGACTGATAAATGTGGAGGATCGATGGGGGTGGGGGTACACAAATGCATATCTACTTGTATGCCCGCCTACGTAGTTGTTTAGTCAAAATATGAAGTCCTTTATGTACCCATCCCGATCCATAGTTTTCCAATACCACCTCGCCATATGTACATGCATTTCTTTCTTTTAATCATAATTAATCTTCCCCATGGATTGGGAATCCCTCACTGCCATGTTAATTAATTCCTCCTTTTCTGATTCCATGAGATTCAATCAATTTTCCCTGAGTTTAAGAGACTGTAAATTCTATAAAAAAAAAAAATTAAAATAATTAAGTGCAAGATTGAACTACTAAGGGAAAACTTGGAAGAGTAAAACTATGTCTGTATACAGGGAAAACAATTGAACTTACTATATGTTTTGCTTACAATGAATATCTCATATCATTGGCATACATAACCAATTCTTGTTGATTGGATTATACTTTGTCATCTACAATTGTTCATATACAATACTTTCTCTAAAGGTTTAATAATTTGGTATATTGATAGTCTCATTTTCCAGACACCAGAGATAACCATTATTCTATCGTTCCATCATATTGACAGCTGCAGTACCTAACTTATTCCTCAAACCAAAATTGACAGTAATCATGACATGGTTTGATATGCCTTCTTGAATCTTGGTACAAATGGCTAATCACTTGCTGCTATCATCTAAAGTACCCACAAGGCACTTCTCCAATAAAAATTCATCATTCACCCAAGCATGGTATTTATCTATATATAGGGAGTTAAGGATTGAAACGGAAAAAAAAAAAAACAAACAAAAAAAATGATCTGTGCTATTAAATACAAATTTTCAGAAAGCAAGCAAGCAGAATCAATCCCATCAGATATCCATGGTTTATTCCTTCATCTAAAGGATAAATTTCATTCCACCCATTGCAGAGAAGCCACAGCATGATCAAATTAGTGGTAATCTTATGATCCCTTTCCTTTGCACCGTCATTCCTACTTGGACCACAGAATGTTCCAACATAGGAAAGGGAACACGAAGGACAGCGAAAGTTCCCTTTCCTCAAGATATTCTATGCATACATTACTTATCTTATACTACACACAGGAGGACCCTCTCTCCCTACTCTTTTGCAGTCACAAGAAAGAAAAAATTAAGTCATAGAGCACAAAGTGAAATAAGCAAGTAAAAGAGGCTCAATGACACAAGATATAATAGGTGAAGCTTGTGCAAAGAGTTACCAAAGTAAACCCCCATAGTTAGATCTGAGCCCGCATCCACCAGAGTACCCACCACAAGTTCAGCAAGCCAAATAAATAGCTATTGGGGTCTCAGAGACCCATCAGATCAGAGAACCATCTTAAGCATCAAAGTTTCTTCCTTTATCAAACTTTGTCACGAACTGGGAAAATATTAGCAATGCAGAATCAGAAACATGACTCTTACTATTGTGCATCCCAGAGTACTAACTCCAGTCATTGTTCTACTGTCATAAGATCTCAATTCCATTTCAATTATCACGGAATATTAGTTTATTGCCATATTACTCTCCTATAAAGTAATATAATATCAAAATTCAGGCTAGACATGTATGCAAACAACTAGATAACACAAATATAACAGCATTTAGAAAGCAAATTGAAAAGTAACCAGACTTCACATTTGTTATGGTCAAAAAACAGTTTCTCAACAGAAAGGATACTAAACAAAGATGTGCAATCCTTTCCAACAGCTTTCATCAGCATATCAGCACCTGGTAAGACAGGGAAACAAAACTGACTGTGTATAGTTGTGAATTCCACCCATTAAAATGCAACGAAATTAAACCAACACTGATAAGTTGCCAATGTCCCAAATATCAAATCCATTAATCTGATAGTGCCTTGATTTCTATAGTGTCAATAGACGACCACCAAAAGAGAAAATAAGAGTACAGATGGAGAGGATTTATATTGCATAGGCATCAAAATAAAAGAAAAGGATAATCTATTAGGAGATGATCATTCTTTGAGCAATGTGGAAATGGATGATCAGTTATTGATCACTGTGACACTCAACTCCGCCAAATCAAGCACTTCAGGTATCAAATGTTATATTACAAAGGTCCAATAAAAGCCAACTTTTGACTATATCAGGTTAAAATGTAATAGTCATATCTCTGGTAGGAAGATAAATCAGACTGTTCTTATAAGACACTGAAAATAGCATCTTATCTGAAACATCTAGTAGAGTAGGTTCCTATATGAGGTATTTGGAAAATAACCCTGAATCAGGTGCCTGTCCAATTGCCTTCACAGAAGCTTCTCTGCAAATTATACCTCCTTATCTAATATGCAAAAGCTAATGGCGCAGCTAAGGGTAAAAGTTACAGCAGTTTTCCCATTTCCCATTAACTCAATGGCAAGAGTAAGGATAGTAATTGTCAAGGGTGAGTGAGCACTCCTTACCTCAAAACATAAATAATAACCCCAAAGGCTATAAGAAAGTTTTTTTTTTCATCACCAAATAACCTTTTCAGTAAGCTCAGTATCGGCAATTGAATATCTAGGTACCAAGTTGAGCTCTTTGATTAAGAAAAAACAAGTATAAAATTGTAATAAGACATATAAAAAAGTAAGACATTAACAAAGATGATACAATGGGTACAAAAACTAATAACAAGGTGAAGCCATTACTACTTACTAATTTACTTACCTCCGGGATGAAATTTCATGTATGGAGCTATATTGTATACGCGTCCCTTAAGAACTGTCCACATCGAGTCCCCAGTTTTGTGTTCTTTAACTTCTTTCAAAGAAATAAGTCTCTTGTTTGAATTCCCATTTAACCCTGAGGCAGAATCAATTGACAATGTCAAAATAGAGTCAAATATATAGTGACCATCAATCATGACAATCATAATCAATCCATGGTGCCGAAAGGCTCCCCGCTTCAGTAAGCGATAAAATATTTGCTATGAAATCTGAACATATTGATAACAGTTTAAAATAGATAATAGCCTTAATCCTTTTGACAAAATTGAAAGTGATCTAGGTAATCCATTATCATCCACGTCAAAGCACATCTCTTTGGAAAAGAGTATTACCTTGGTTCTGCACATACTTGCAAAACAAGAAATCTAAATAAATGCTTTTGGGCTTCTGATTGCTGGTGTCAATCCCATGATTTCCAGTTTTAAACGATAAAGAGCATGAATGTGGTAGGTCAATAACTAGTGTAAATCTTTATTACATTTTAGATATAGATCATTTAAGAAATTGTATAAATGCTAGGATGGTCCCTGCTTGAGAAACACATCACAAAGTCTGACAGTGACATTTTAAAAAATGACTGCTCCATCTCCATGAGGGCTTTGGTTTAGTCAAAGACTAAAAGCATGCAAAATGCAATGTCCTCACACTAACGGAAGAAATGATTGCATAAAACATAGGAACAAAAAGAAGTGTATATATAGTGAATAGGAGTTTTAAGATTAAAGCTTTAGTATTGGAACACAAAATGCGGAGACGCTTTTCAGTAAGCCTGACAATACATTTATCAGCTTTAGAACATTATATTTCAAATTCTACCTAAACATAAAGTTATTGGTAACATTTCCCAATAAGCTTGAGTACCTATTTTTCAGATGCAATCATGGAACCTCAAAAAAATTTGCAACCAGGAAAGGACAATTGCACTATACAGTGGCACCCATCACATCTACTCCAAAACAAGATAAGAAGCTTGATAGGCATAAACTTTAATATTAGAGAAGCAAATCAACAACTATACCTGCCAGATCAGGATGTGTTCTTGTGAGTTTCATCCAGTCCATCTGACTATAGCCCTTCTCAAAAGGAACCTTTGCCCGAGGGGCGGATTTCTTCACTGGAGTCTTCACTGCTTGTGAAGCATTGGTTGAACTTCCAGTGTCTGCATCTCTTTGGCCTAATGGTTGGTTCACTTGTTTACTAGAAGATGCATCGATTACACTGAATGACAACGATCCTACCGTACCTTCCATCTTCTGGATCACATTTTCAGGCAATTTATCCTTCCAGATTACACCATTAGCTTGACTACTATCAGCATTCTTCACTGGTTTATCATCAATTTTCATCCCATCAATATCTTGAACTACCTTCTCTGCATCTATGGAGTCTTTTCTGCCATCAGCAACCTAATTAAATTTTACAATACCTATTCAGTATACAGTCCTCCAAAATACGTTTGGAAATCCATAACCAAGACTACATCAAAATTTTACAACAAATTAACATGTAATAGAATTATGCATGAAACAGAACTAAACAACAACTTACAGGAGGACAGAATGTAAAGTCATCATCATTAGCCATAACAGATACACGGGAAATTCGGCAATCAGGGGCAATTAGAGACGTTGGTTATCCTGAAAAGAAAATGAAAAAGGAAGCCATGAACACTCAAGCCGAGTTACACCAATCAAGCAAAATTTCCATGATCTAAAGCTGCATAGCAGAATGCGATAAACTCCCTTTGCTCCACAGTAAAAATGCCTTCTTAATTCCATACTTGTCCACTACATGCATAAACACAAGGCATGTTTCTCCACAAAAAACAAAAGAAGAAAAAAAGTCTTCTACCAGAACTGAATACATCCATAAACACAACATGTTTTTTCTCAAAACAGATTCTTCATTAGTAACATAAACCCAATGCATTCTATATGCTACAGGAAGGGGCAGACAATGTAGTTTAAATAAAGCAGCTGAACGACTGATCTGAAATAGTACGCTATGGACCCAGCAGAATAAGATTAACTTTGATTGATGGAGCTTAAAGCAGAATAAGTAAACGAGTAGATCACAGCCCCAGCTAAAGTTTTCCAAGTAAATAGTTCACTACGAGAAATTAAACAAAACGCACCTCAGACTAAATACGAACAATCTTGTCTACAATCTGTAATTATCAATAGCAGCCAAAAAGAAAAGTAACAAATTGAAAAACTAACAAAATCATGCTTTACTCCCCGTTTAGTTATCAACCACGAGAGATGGACAAAATGGCATAAAGAAGACTCAATCAATAGCGCGCAAATTTGGAGCAAAGTGCTCCATTTTCTTTCACAATCCAGAATCCAGATTCAGAAGACATAATTGAACTGCCAATCATTAAAAACCTTAAAGGAGCACGTTTCGGCAATGTATGAATGCGAAAAGGCGAGTCGAGGACTGCTATGATCGGTAGACCGACGAAATTTGATTGGTTGTGGGTCGTCGGCTTCCGGCCGCCCTCAGCTGAAGAGTAAAACCGTACAGGTATGGGTAGATGGAGGCCGGCGGCGAAGTAATAGCGGACGACGGCAGCGTTCAGTGGAACATACGATGGCAGCTTCCAATTATAAATTTATTAGTATTATATAGGCATTCAGCGCTCTCGGCAAGATTCTGCGTAACTTTGGAGTATAATTCCCTTTGACTATTCAACCAGTCGTGAAATTTTGACCTTTACATACTGTATTTATTTTTATTTAATTTTAAATCAAACCGGCGGTTAACAGACGGTTCGGTGGACGGTTTAAGATTTTTCAGACCGACCATCAAAGTCCAGTTCATAACCGAACCTAATTCAATTACCTGAAATAGTTTTTTATTATAAAACAAACCAGATACTTATCCCGGGCGAATGCCCGGAATGCCGACTGTATTTTTAAATCGATTAAATAAAAAATACGAATCATTCTTAAAAGAATAAAAAAAATAAAAGAATAAAAAATTGATTGAAAGGACAGGAAGTGAGTTATTACACATAAATTTATGTCCAGATTTATAACTTTTAATTTACAACAGTTAACTTATGCCTGAGTTTACATAAATTATTAAACCAATATCTACAACAGAAGAATTAAAAAAAAATCATCCTTAAAAAATCAAATTTTTTTCATGATAGCTTATTTTTTCTCTGTTATAGAAAGAGATGGATTGATAATTGATGTCACATTTTAAGTAATTGATTTAAAGACCCGGGTGTGAGAGAGGAGCGGAATGAAAGAGATCCTTTGATATTGGAGATTGGAAAGATATTACTGGTGTTTCACTTGATTTAAGGGAATTTCCTTACATTTGATTTTATTAACTAAATATTGTTGTTTTAAGGAATTAGTATATACCTATAATTAAGAGATTTTTATATAGTTATAATTAAGGGATTTATGTATTTATTTATTCCATTTTTTTTCTGATTAGTTAGAGTGCCACGTGTCAAAAATGATTTTGTACTGAAAATGGCTTTTAGCGAGAAAATTTCCATTGTAGTGCTGACACATATCTTTTTTGTTTGCTATTTTAATTAAGTACTATAGATACTCCTTCAGTTTTAAAATAAAAAAAATTTCACTAACCGCCTCCTGCTGATCATTAATATAACACGTTAGTGTTCCTTCCAATATTAATTTTTTTTCCTCCTGGCTGTAATGGCTGGAGGATTTAAATTTTTTGACCTAATTCGGTTTACTTTTAGTGTATTTGATGATGATTGAAACATTAACTTGTATCGTCCGGATCTTGTTTAACTGGTTTATGTATCTATAGGTTTTATGGGTCAACATATCTATATGTATCCTCCTTTGATTTATATTATATGGTTGATACTAAATTTTTGGTCATTGCTTCAAGCTTTTGATAGCGAGGCTTTCGCTTTAGACGCGACAAGTTGAATATTAGTATTCTCAACTACAGTCTTTTTAGTTTTTTTTTTATTTTTATTTTTTTATTTTTATTTTTTTATAGGTAGCTGTTTTCAGGATTTACATAGTTCCTTTTAACACATTTTGCTTTTGCTCCTAAACTATATGCAGATGGAAGCTAATCAAAACCTGAAACCGGGTGCGAACCTCCCTCCAGTTCTTGATCATCCCGTTTTCAATACGACGGAAGCACAGGAAGACGATCTGGTATACTAGGTCGAGAACCTACCAGGCTATATAGAACTCAACCGGGCATACGGCTCCTTTACCTCGTTTTTGAAAGGCCCAAATATAAACCCACATGTGGTTCCACCTCAAAACCAATTGGCAATTAGGGGAATAGCACATGAGATATATATGTGGAGTTCAAGAGTTTTCATCCATCCATGTGGGACAATAGAACATGAGGTCATTTCTTTTTTTCATTCATTTAACACGCCCCTCTCAAGCCCAATGGGTTTGGACGGATAAATTTTTTCAGTCCTGCGATCGGTTATTTTCTCGGATAAACCGTCGCCTGCCGGGCCAGTCAAAGTTCAAAGTCAAACCACGGATTTCTTCCGTGGGTTGGCCAAAATTTCAAGACCCAATCTGAGTCAGTCCACCTCGCCCCACATGTCCCACAGATCCGCGGATTAAAACCCGCTCTAATACCATCTTGAAAGGCCTAAATATAAATCCACATGTGGTTCCACCTTAATACCAATTGGCAATAAGAGGAGTAACACATGAAGTATATATGTTGAGTTCAAGAGTCTTCATCCATCCATGTGGGACAATGGAACATGATGTCATTTCTTTCTTTCATTCATTTAACACTCAGTATGGAATCGAGAAGGGTTATGGAACTCGAAGCTCTGGCTAGACAATACCATTCACCTGAATCAGGGGGATTCGCATGGTTATGGTGAGAGCTTAGACGAAAAGCTAAGAGCTACTTTTAAGGCCGACAGACAAGCAATATTGGACCGAGTATTTAATCTGGATTTTCCAGCCTCCTCCTCCAGATATATGTCGTTGCTTGATAGAGATGATGCAGTTCAGTTGTTTGGCAGCCTGAAGATCCTGCGTCCCTGAGTTAAAGTTGTTTGCTGCATTAGGAGAAGTAGTTGAAGAAGTTGACATTGGTCCTCTCCAACATATCTTTCAGTATCACTACCATCTTCCTTTGGAATCCAATCAGCTTTATGCTCTGAACCATCCAGACGAGCATGGAATACTCACCGCCAGGCTCGCTACACCCGAGGAAGACTCCAATGCCGTTTTCACAGGTGGGAAGATTCATCAGTGTAGATTTTGGCATCTCTGTTATGTGATGCATCTCGCTCCTTCGCCCAAAAAAAACAGTAGTACAATTCACAAATTGCAATTTGTAGACTATTTTTTGTAGGTCGGAGGGGTTTTACCAAATTCTGAAAGATAATCTGTGTTTTTTAGAAACATTTGTACTCACAGTCGATTTTACTATATGCTTGATAACTAACTTATTTTTCTGATGAGTGGTAATAGATGCAGGGAAAATTTGACAAGAAAAATTATAAGGAATGGGGTGGCTAAATTCTAACTATCCTCTAACCTTAAATTGATAAAACCCTACAATAAATGTAAAAATACGAACAATTATGATTCATTCCCTGTTAAAATTCCAAGTAAAATTATGTCTATAATTTGTTCACTTCATCTTCTTTTTCTTGCTGAATTGCAGCCTGATTCTTTGATACGAGAGGGGATTCACCAAGGACCTCTGACCTTAATTGCATCAACAACCTTCCAAGATAATTTAGTCCTTCCCCATCTCGACCTCCGCCCCAAAACAGATCATGGGGCGATGCTTCTACGAGAACATACCCTGCAGTTGATAGCAGCATGGAATTCAAATGTGGATAGATGGTGAACTTGCATTTCAAGGCGTTGTACATTATATCAATTTTGACAAGCTCCCAATCGCCTCTCACCTGACATCCAGAAAACACAATAAGTTTATTGAGTGTGAGTGAAATGTATAGCCATATTGATGGTGCAGCCAGAGACCGAAGGGAACCAAATGCACACAGGAATTTTACATATGTCTACCAGCAAACCTCTGCTAATGCGTAATCAACAAGCCACATTTTTCGTATCAGAGTTGCTTCAAAGGATTTTGTGCAACAAATAAGACTTTACGGCAGCCAAAAACTTCAATTGATTACATATTTAGGAACTATAAAATGGACATGCAAGCAAATGCCATTAGAAAAATGAAATCCACCCAACCAACCAACAAGTTGCCCAAGTTTGTAATCCAATTGATGAATAACGAAATATGTTGCTACAGAGAATAAACTGTTGGCTAGGAGCTTCACAGTTTGATGATTTTTACCAGATGAGGACATTGCCTCTGTATTTTCCTCCCAATCCGTGCAGCTTCTTCTGGACTTCTAGCAGATTTTATTTCATTCAGACATTCCTGAGCTCTTGGATCAGTAACTCCTACAAACTTTTGTGCCTGCAGATTGAAGTCCATACACAAAATTACGAGAGGTGCAGCAACAAATAAGCGTTTCTCAAAGATTTTCTTTTTTCATTTTCTGGGGTTAATCTTATTGAGGATCTGTCATGATGCTAAGATTTCTTTCAAGAACAAATTATGCAGCAATATAGCGAATGGAGTGTTGAAACTGGCAGTTAAAAAGATGATGTGAGGATTTCTTTCTAGAAGACAGCAACAAGAAAGTGGACAAATTATTAAACCAAGGAAGCAACCTGGTAATAATGCTCGACACTTGACCAGGAGATATAATCTCCATTTTCGTCTGGCATTTGAATTGGATGAGGAGAGAAGTTTGAAAAAGCACCATAGGGATCCCATGTTTTGTAAAAGAATATAATGCTGGATTCATATGGGGAAACTGTTTGATCCACTGCATAGGTTTCTTCAAATGATGGAATAGTAGGGGCGAGATCAGGAACTGGCTGAAGAAATCCACTTATAAGCATGTCAGGCCCAATCTGTCAATTACGTGGGAGTTAGCGAAATAAATAAAATTAAAATGCAACGTGATAAAAAAAAAAAAAACAATAGAGAGACAACAAAAGAGCCAACCAAACATAAGACCAGACCACGGTATTTTTAAACTTTGAAGCATTACAAACAAAGAAAATTCTTAATATTTGAGAAATTCTAGATAAGACCAGATCTGAGACAAAACCTCAGATTATGAACACTGGACAAAGGATACTGTACAAACAGGAGAAAAAAGAAGTTCAAGAAAATGATGCCTTATTATCGTTTAAAAAATAATACTCCTAAGATTCTTGCCAGCAAAATAAACTCACGCTTGTGTAACAGAGGGAAGAGAACTTATCAGTTTCATCAGCTCCTCGTAAGTTCATGCGAATCCAATCTAGTTTCTTCTATTAAGTACCAACTTAAAAGTAACTCTTATGAACTCGCGAGCAAATGAATTCTTTTACCGAAAGAAACCCATAAGAAGAAAGAATGACTGAAAATTCTACAAAAGAAATTTGATAAACCACATTAGCTTCTTTCAGGCAAAGAGTTGCTTCCTGGAGATGATAAAATCAGTATTCCGGCCAAGAAGGTTTAAAAATCAGGAGAACAACAAAAGTGAAACATTCGAAATACTTCCATTCTTTCCAGAACCTAGATCTAAGTTCATAGTTTAAAACTTGAAACAAAAGAAAGAAGATAAACAAAAAGAGATTAATTCTAGCAATGAATAGAAGAAGAATTGTCCCCATCAATTTCTCTACTTCAAATATATTTTACCAATAATGGTTATCTTCAATCTACATGCCATATACAAAATGAAATAGCACAGATTCTTGAATGCATCTGGGCAAGTACAAATGCAAATTACTTCAAATCACACACACAGAAATGTTATTGATCTGCACTCATGTGTATCAAATCGGGCACCAAAACTGATAAAAGTACCGTAACAACACATCTCTCAAACAGAAGTAATCGTAGATATTTTAAGCGCTTTGCAGGCATTGATAGCAACGGATGCTACTAACTGTAAATAATATGCTAACCTGCTCATAAGAAACATCATTTAACTCTATCGCCTGCGACATCTCAACCATTCCAAGTTCGCCAACTGGAGAAGGAGCATCAATTCCCCCAATAATTTTAGGAGCAACAAATGCATGTACCTGCATTAATACCACATTACCAAAGTGAGGGCATGTAGATATTATGATATAGTCCCTCCATCCTAGAAAACAGTCCATTATGCTGTACTGTTTTAGTTTAACAAAGTGGCATATTTTTCTGGGATGGAGGGAGTACACTCCTAAAGATGCAGAACATGTGAAGGGAAAGCCAGAAGAAGAAATCAAGAACAATTTAAGGAAGATAACACAGCACAGTACAATATGTGGAAGATAAAACCAAGCTGTAAAATTATTTTGTACATGACTATACTTCATTATTGCGCTTATGGTATTCGAAGTTAAAAAAAGGTGTTGCATACCTTGTGTATGACACCATGTTCGATAGCAGATGCAGCCAAAGTTCCCCCGCATTCCCAAAGGATTGAAAGATAACCACGGTCATAGAAGTACTCCATGACATCTCTAGGGTTCAAAATGTCAAACTCCACTACCTCAACATCTTTGGATGCTAGGTATTTTTGGAAACTCCTTTTTGCACCTCTTTGTGTGGCAACTATAGTGGGTACCTCAGAGACATCCCATAAATTTGCCACTTCCGGCAGATCAAGCGTTCTTGACATTACAATTCGTCTAGGCAAATGACCACCTCCATGTCTTGCAGTTAAACGCGGATCTGGATAAAAAAATTCAATATTAACAGGGTTAGGGCATTAAAAATATCAAACAGAATGAGAAATATAGCTGATATAGATCCATACTATCTCTGCGTACAGTATTTCCTCCTACAATTACAGCATCGCTTCTGCCGCGCAACTGAAAAACAAGGCTTCTGGACAGTTTGCTGCTTATCCATGATGCATCTCCACTGCTTGCAGCAATTTTCCCTGTTTCGATATTTGGGACCCAATCAAGAATACAAGGGCAATAAGTCGAAGGCTAGTGACAACTGTACAAGGAATGCACTGCAATGTATATTAACAAATGACCTCATTGGTTTACATTTGGCTCACCATCAAGTGTCATTGCATATTTCAAAAAGGAGAATGGAACTCGGTAAGCAGCTCTGTAAAGCAAAGGAGCATTTACAAGCAGACAAGATTTCAGAGCGTCCTGCACAAATCAAGAATAGGAAAGACAGTCCTGAGATTAAGGAGCACATAGGTGAATCCTAATAAGAGCATAAAGCTATACCTTCTTATAGCTAAGAAAGAATTCAAATACAAAACATGAATACCTCTTCTTTTCTCTTTTTTTTTTTTTTTGGTTTTAGACATGGATACCTGTTCACTAATTACAGTTCTTGAAGACTGATACATGAGCTAAACTGTTATGATTGCTTCTTCTTGTCCGTGAAGCACTATTTTTTCTTGATTTCATAAGAGTTTTCCACAGTGTAAAGATGCCACAAACAAAAGAGAAAAACTGAAAAAATAGCAACAGCTACGGATGGAGAGGTCTTAAATCTTACATCACTCAACAATGTTTCTTAGACATCACAGAGATTTTAAACTTGCAGTCCACATGTTACTTTCCACACGAGAATTCAATGAAACTCAAAAGCATGCAACTAAATCAAAATTCAAATAGCAAAGAAAACTAAAAAGGATAGCCAATTATTCTCCTTCAACAAGGTAGCTAAACAGCAAAACCATAACAAGGAAAATAAAGCTCTGAAATGCCATCCTAAATACCTCAATAGTTTTACTCTGTATATCTTCTCCGAGAACATCTACTTGCAGTCCTTCACTTCTCAATGCCCGAATGGCATTACCTCGGAGATGTTGCAAAGGATGTCGAATGCCAACCACAACTCTGCTAATTCCTGCCTAATTCAAATTCATAAAATTCCATCAGATTCTTGAATTACAAAGAGCTTTATTGAAAGTAGCTAACAGGATCGCAAAACAGTTCCCCGGAATATCAATCAAAATGCAAATTTGAACTTAATGAATTCATGCAGAACGAAGTTTCATTCTTACTGTCACTATCCAAACATGAAAAAAAAAGACTCTCTCAAAACAGGAAACTCCGGCGGGAATCAATCAAAAGGAAAAAAAAGCATACATTGACAATAGCCGAGACGGCGGTGAGATCACTGTAGCAATCGCCAGGCTCCATATTGAGATAAGCAGTGGCGCCCCTGCAGAGCTCTCCGGCTGACTCAACAGCCTGCAGTTCCGCCGGAGCGGTACCCTCGGCGTAAAGGTATCCTTCTCCGACCACCCTCCCATCTCCATGGGCGGCTCCACTACCGGTGGTGGCAATCACGCAGCCAAAATTGGGGTGTGGAGCAGTGAAACCGGCAGACTTATCGGCTAGTTCAGCGGCGCGTTTGATGAACTTGGCGTCGAAAGCGTGCAATTGAGAGGATGAGGGGTTGGGTAGGCAAGCCCTAGTAGGTTTGACGGCAAATGGAATAGAGAAAACGGCAAACGATAAAACCGCCATCGATAGATTTTCTGGACTTCAGCAAAACAGGTACTATAAGAATGTCGAGGAAGATGGGTAAGTAAAAATTAAAACTGAGAAGCAGCAGCAGTTTTTTCTTCTTTTTTTCTTCCAAATGGATACTTAGATATTGACTCTTTTATTTATTTTTACTCCTTCCGTCCTACAAAAATACTCTAGTTTGATAAAAAATCTTGTCCCCAAAAAATAGTCCAGTTTCACAAAAGTCAAAATTAATTCAAGTTAAATTATTTCTATATCCTCATGACAGATAAAAGTTAAGACGCCCCAAACTTCCCTGTGAAATTACCGCCGGTAGAGTTTCTCTTTCTTCTCTGCTTTCGATGATGCTATCTTCTCGCCGTCAGCCATCCATCTGTCCCTCCAACGTTGCCGACGATTACTACGTATCTATTTTCCCAATTGAAGATCGACTGAGATCTATGACTGGATTCGAGTGATGGGTAGAGTTCTTCCTTCTTTTCTGCCTTCGATGATCCTATCTTCTCGCCGTCAGCTGATCGATCTGTGCCTTCAACTTTTACGGCGGTTACTACGATTCTATTTTCTCCATTGAAGATCGACTGACATCTATGACCGGATTCGAGTGATGAATTTAGATAGCGTTGCAGTTTCTCGAGTTGATTTATTGGACTCCAGAAAGACAATTTTAATTAGAGTTTTTTTAATGTATTTTTCATCTAAATCCCATTTGATTGAGGATTTTTCTTTGTTTGTTGTGACCGATTATAATTTGATTCACAGATCTTCGATGAAATTGGTACTTGAATTTTGGGATCTCATCGCTTACGGGAGATGCCAAATGGCGAGGAAAGGTTGCACAAAGAATTAGATTGGAACATTATATTGGTTGTTAGTCACGTTCTTCATAGCCCAACCACAATTTTGTGTTTTTCGGCAAAAGGGGAAAAGGGGAAAAAAAAATTGCAGTTTTGTGTTTTCCGGCGAAAGGGGGAAAGAGAAAAAAATTGCGTAGTTTCTGGTTCTTAGTAGCTTTTGGACGGCAAGGACATTATTGGAAGTGTGAAGGATAAAAAGAGTTGTACCTTGTTAGGAAGTATTTTTTCCGAATTTTTCTGCTCTGACCCAGAACGAACGGGATGTATTGCTTGGACCTGGATCCGACCCAGTTTTCTACCCGAGTGATATTGAAATCGATTTTACCCTTAAGTTTGGGAAAGGTTTTTTATAGCCAAAATTTTTAGTTCTTTCAGCCACAAATTTTTAATTTTAACCATTTTGTACCTGCCATTTGATCAAACTAAATTGAATGAGAGAGATGGAGAGAGAGAGAGAGAGAGAGAGAGAGAGAGAGAGAGAGAGAGAGAGAGAGAGAGAGAGAGAGAGAGAGAGAGAGAGAGAGAGAGAGAGAGAGAGAGAGAGAGAGAGAGAGAGAGAGAGAGAGAGAGAGAGAGAGAGAGAGAGAATAAGCCACTCGGACCGAACCGAACAAATCATCCGGTCTGATTTACGTGAAAACGGACAAATTATTAATCTTTAGTTTAATGCTAGTTTATTCGCAATATCGTTGCATGTTGAATACCTCGTACTTTAAATATTATTAACAATATTTATACTTTAGTGCCTAAACTCTCAACTTTATATTTACTTGAAAATAAATAAGTAATTAGTTTTTACTTAAAAATAAATTTAAAATTATTCGTTAAGTTAATTTATTTGAATTGATATTAAAATATAAAATTTTACTTCAATCATTATTTTTAAGATAACTTTTAGTTAAAAATAATAATTATACAATTATAATAAAAAATAATAATTGTACTACAAAAATTGTGACGAATATGTGCAAACAGATTAACTATTTTTTAACTACAAATATAACTCAAATAATAAATTATTCATAAATTTAATGAATAAAGATTTTAATGAACTAAAAACTAGATTAACTAATTACAAAAAAACAAAAAATTAAAAAAAATAGCAATGAATCCCATTGATATTTTATAAATAGACTTTTTTAAATAAAAAAGACTGCTATTTTTTTAATAACAAAAAAAAATCTAAAATAAAAAAAATGAGCCTGACCAGACCGGTTCACTATATCGGACCGAACCGAGACCGACCGTGCAATGAACCCATCCCGAGTTAACTCAGGACGAGCAATAAACTTGTCCCGAGTTAATTCGGGACGAGAAATGAACTCGTCCAGCGGTCGGTCAGTTTTTTATTTTTTATTTTTTTAGTTTTTAATTTTTTTTTAGTTTTCTCTCTAGTCAAGTTATTTGATTTGAAAAAATGACAGGGGTAAAATAATCCAAATTAAAAATTTGTGACTGTAAAAACTAAAGTTAGTGGCTTGAAAAAATAATTCTTAAGTTTTAACTGTAATTATGCCGAATTGATCTCCTCATGAATGTCAAAATAGTGTGCATTAATGTTCCTTTGTGTTCGGATATAGGCTCTTGCCTTCATCATTGGAACAAAACAAAAAAAAAAAGCACATTTTGTTTTACATCTTTTTTCATTAGTTGGTTGATTTTAGGGATAATAATAATGTCTACAAAATTTGAAAAATTATAAAAATATCTAGGGTAGGTTAATTTAGATTTTTTTTTAGTGTGTATTTTTGGTTAAAAATATAAAATCTATATTGGGATGAGACATTTTTTAATAACTTAAAAGTCAAAGCAAAAAACGAACCAAACCAACAGAACCTTAACTTCTTTTTTTTCCAATGATGAAGACGCAAGATGCTTGGTAATATCTCACTATCACATCACGGCGTGTCTAGTGATATTTACATTTTTTTTCCAACATTTAAAATTGCACTACTCAATTTTCAGTTCGCCTTCCATGAAGAAAATTTGCCCTCCGATAAGGTGTTTTTAATTAATACCTAAAACAATTTATCTCCACCAAATTCCTACAATTTTAGGGTGATGGTATATTTGTTGGGATGTGCTCCTAACTATGTGGGTCAAAGTCCAAGTAATTAAATAAGTTTGGCCCAACTTGTGTTATGTCATTAGTCCAAGGTTTGAGTCCATTGAGGGATAGTAAAATGCAGCCAAAATCAGAATGAGGAATGTGTGCCATTTACGGGAAAAATAAAACCAAAAGGGAGAGAGAGAGCAGAATATTTCCAGCAAAGGTTCCATTGTAGCAGCGTCTGAATTCTTCAAATTTAGAGGGGCAATCGTTGTCCGTTGGTCCTGAAATTTGGATTGGGGTTACAAGACTCATTGATCTACATCTCCACCAAAGAGTTTTGGTTTTCGTCGGTTAGATTGTGAGTTTTGTACTTTTGAAATTGCTGCTGGTTTTGTAGATATTTAGTTGATATTTTGATCTTGTATTGATATTCTAGTGCCTTTGTAGCTTGGTTTAGCTTGAGTGAGGACTAGATATCTTTGTTGTATTGTTAGATTTGTGTACTCCTACTCTTATTTGGTGATTAGTGGATTTGATAGGTCTTTTGGTCTCGTGGTTTTTACTCCTTCACACCGAAGGGGGTTTTCCACGTAAACTGGTGTTATGCGTTGCTTTTATTTTCTTGTTGTTTCATTGGTAGCTTTACTTTCACTTTGTGTAGTTGATATTTTCGCTCCTACTAAATTCTTGCAAATTGGAGAGGCCTTGGTTTGTTTCAGATGTGCTTAAGTTAGCTCGTATTTAATTAGCTAGTTTGGTTTGCCATATTTTTGTCCTCGCCTTTCAACAATATTTGATTACGATCTCTCATTCAAGCCTTAGCGAATCGGAACTGCTATTTAGGTTGGTTTGTGTTCATCATCTTAGAACCAACTATGATGCTAAGCTTAAACACAAAACCAATCATCCAAATCCTAGAGGCGCATCGGTTAATTTTCAGATCACTCATTTGACGCCTTATCATGGAGAGATATATATGATTGGGTTAAGCTATACCATTGGTTGAATGCCCCGTTCCCAACTTTCGTTCGTTTCGGTTGACGATGTACGATCATGCATGCTTTCAGAAAACGATATCCTCTTATCTCACCACAATTACAATCATGTTTGAATAATATAATTATCTTATTTTGGCACAGTACAATACACAAACTTGAGGTGTTTATTAATCACACTAGCAAAAAGAATAAAAATATATAGAGAATTTAAAACAGTGGTTTAAATTGTATTATCTCTACCCAAAAAAAAAAATTGCATTGAGTTTTCAATATTTGTGCAAAAAAAAAAAATGGTACAAATTGTACATGTGAAGCGACCTATTTTTTTCATGCCGTTTTAAAATAAGTATAGTTAAACAAAGTGTACACAGTTTACGAAACATTTAATTTTGATTGCAAATTACTAAAGAATCCCTAACTTTTCCGTTAAAACAAATAGATGTTATTAATGTTGTACTTTTAGTACAAAAGGTAACTTTGGAAAAAGTTGACAAATTATACATTGATATTTATTTTAGAATTAAGGTAATTTGTTAAAACGACACTTATTTTAAAATGAAAACAATACTACTTTGGATATGATCTATAGTATATATATATATATATATATATATATATATTATATTAAGAGAGAAACCAGAAAGAGAAACCAAAAAAGAATTTCTATAGTGCCACATAGGAAGAAATCCAACGTGACATTTTCTTAAAATTTAGGCTAAAAAAAGTTTCAACATTTAGCAAATAGTCCCTAGAAAATTTTGGAATTACTGAAAATGATTTGGCCGAGAAAAACTAATCATAATTGTTGGAATATAAATGCGGCTAATTTTTCTTCATTATATTATAATTGGTAAGTATTAAAATAATTTTTAATATTGCAGTTAATGATGATTGGTGAGAATAAAAAAAAACCAATCCTAATTGATTTGATCATGTTTTAATTAATACTAATTTTTTCAAAAACTACAGCACTGGTAATTCTGTCAAATCAATTCCTGAAAAATCTCAAAAGTTTACAAAAAAACATCTCACCAATTAATTTATTTGTTATTATGAAATCCGGAAAAAAATTCGTAATAAAACTGATAA